ATCAATAATAATGAACCTTTGTTTATTTGGTAATAATTGAGTTAATGATGAAAACTATCTTTTCCCATAGTGTGCTCCTATATATGTCCAGCTCCCATATTTGAACTATACAGAGAAAACTGATACTACAGATCAGGTGAAACGGTCTTTAATGGTACTGCCCTCTGTCTGATGAGTTCCTGTGTTATAGTAAGACATTTGTCTCTTGGGTTTAACCTATTGGCAGAGTTATTCTTTTATTTCTTATACAAATGTAAACTTAGAAAACAGTTTATTTCATTCAAATGTGCAATCTGAAATCAAAAACTGAATGTAAACTTCAGAAAATCAAAATTTCAAGAGCACACTTTTCACAAGAAAAATCAAAGTAAATGAAACAAAAACATTTGGAATTAAAAAAAAAAAAAGGAAAGAAACGCAGCCTGTTCAAATCCACGGTGTTAGTGTTTGTATTAAACAAAAAGACCCAGGGGCTCAATGCTCTGCTGCTGCAGACTGTTGTCACCCACATGAACTCAGTGTAATACAACAGTTTGTAGCAGCTGAGCAGGTGGTCCCATAACTAACCAAAGAAGGACCCAAGTACTGATCTGATTTTTAAAGCTTGCCTTAATTATTTTACTGATCCTACACTTACACATTCATACCAGAAAATAATCTCAAGAGCTGCAAAATGTCAGACATTTAATTAGCTCTAAGTGCCTTGATGAACAACAAATATACTGAGCCAAATCAATCACTGGTAGCACTTTACACACAACTGGCCTCCAAATTACACCAGAAAAGAACACAGTTCATTTGTTTTTTCAGTGCATGCTATGAGTCTATAATTTTTCAATGCCAGTACAGACCAAGAAATTCACGGAGCACTGTTTTATCTATGAAAAAAACAAGAGATTGAATTCCATAGATAAAATATTCCACTTAAATAAAGGGAAGGTTTTAGCAGGCTGTCTTCGTTTAATCAAAATACAAAGTGAAGAAATGGGGGGTTTTAAATTGTCTATACTTCATTTACTTCTAAGATTAACTGACAGCTGCACTAATTAAAAAAGCCCAGTGATAGAAAACAGATCAACTGTGTCCACAGCCAAGAAACCATGTATTTATGTGCAATGCAGATACAGTTTTACAAACTATGATGGAAAATGTACTAATGAAATCAATTATTTGGAAAATATGTTTCATATAATCATTGTGGTCGGAAGGGACCTCTGGAAGTCATCCTGCCCAACTCCCTGTGCTCCAAGCAGGGTCAACTAGTACCAGTGAGTTGACTTACTGCAAAAAGAATAGCACATCATATACCTGGTAACTTCTTCAAAGGATGTCTTTCTTCAGTTTTCTCCTTTTCTTTTCCATAGCTTACCTTAGTATTTTTTTTAACCTCAAGTAAGACAGAGGAAAATTTTCCCACAATCATTCTACTCTAAGAGAAAAAATGAGTGGGTTTTTTTTCAATTTGCTTAATATCAGGCATGATTCTGTTCCAACTTCCTCTTTTACAGTAACTTACCTACTGATTTCATGTTAGGTGTGTGTATAAGATCTTTCAGGATTGCGGCTTTAACAGCCATATGACCAGGCTAAACCAAAGTATCATTTGCTACCAGTTCCCTCTCTGGAATTTACTGATGTGAAAGAGTAAACAACTTGGAAATTAGCGGATTAGTTTTGCCAACAGACTGTTCTGCAAGTTAGTTGGTGTTTGTACATATTTTCTAGAACTACAGAAGTTTGCATAGTTATGCTTTACTCATAACATGTTGAATTCTGTGATCATTCATGAGTAAAGATTAAAGAACTCAAAATCGGCCACACCAATTAGATTTTTCCTTCAACAAATCTGATTCCAGATGTGATGCAGCAACTAAAAGCAGTTGTAAGCGTTAAGGGGAGTTCTGCCAAAACAGTTAGCTGGGTTTAAATGAAGAAACAATTACTGGACTCCAAATGAGATTGTAGGTAACCAAGAAGCTTGATGCTGTATAGTTATGTAATGGAACTTAAACTGATCTTAAAAGCACCACCTGTGAGTTGTAGCTTTGCTTTCTCAGACCAGTACAGCTTGGATGCGGAGGCCGCTCTGTCAGATTTCTCTTAGGGGTTGCAACAGAGCTACATTTCTCACCCTAAGCTTCACCTAACAGGAAACATAACCTTTTACAGCTTTCCAGTAGTTACTCTGCCTGAAAATACCATATATTCCACAAAAGCACCTGAACTCTCTGCAGGTCTAACCACACACATTAACTTGAAAAGGGCAGACTAGGTATCAGTTGATCCTAAGTTAAACCTATCTCTGTTATTTTTTACATACAAAGCGGATACAGTCCTGTGGGACACACTCTGTGAGGGTTGTACTAAAGACTGCAAGATTCAGAGCTCCATCAGAAAAGTCAGTTTTGCTCTCAGGCGTTGATATAAAAAAAGCACATATTCCAGGTGGTCTGGTTTATAGAAATACATTCCAGAGAGCCTTTGACTTCATTCTTCAGAAGCATAAAAGAAAGGAAAATTTAGCCCATGAATTTTGATGTACTAAAACACAGAGATGCATATTGCATTATTTCAGCAATATAATTACTTGGCATTTAGCAAAACTTACAAAACTGCTACTAAAGATGCTAGTACATCTAAAAATTTTGAGTGTTAAACCGCCGCTGTTTACATCTAGGCAACTTTATCAGCTTTAGTCTAAGCTCAGCACAGTTGCATGGATACAACAGAAAGCAGAATTTAGCTTTTAGCTTTCTTGCAGAAAGGGGTTTTATGGCTTGTAAAACAGAAAATTCAAGAGACCATGCCTGCAGCTGAACACCCAACAGTAAATATCTTCATTGTATTACTGTACATTGACTTTTAACACAGTGTCTGCCCCCAAGATCAGTGGCAGTAGAAAGACTTCTCCTCACCTGGTTCACCACAAGCAGGTCAAGGAAATCATGCGACAACATGCCCAAGGGTTGCAGAACAGTGCTTCTGATCATGAGAAACTCTATGTCTACTCAGAAAGCAGTAAAAATAAATGTTTAATCTTGAGTGGTGGGAATATATTTTAACTGTTAAATAGAATAAACACATTCAGGGAAACATTTAACAGCAGAGATAACCGGCAATTGTAACTACTTGTTACAGGGTGACCCTGCTTTGCCTGAGTAAGGACTGCGCTGCCAGGCCAAATACTTGGAAGATGCAAAGGGCTATCCCAGTGTGTTTGACTGCTCTTCTCCAATTACAGCACTTCCAAGTTACAGCAGCAAGAGGACTGACTCCAAGCTTCAGTTCTTTTGCCTTTTGCTTAGAACTGACGTTGGGCCTAATCCTGCATTCCTTTTGTATCCAAACTCTCCCAAGCCTTATCAGGCATTCAAAAATCTGACTAATGTCTGTGAGAGTACTTGTTCCAAAGGAATAAAGGACAGAGCCAGTTGTAAGGAAAGCTGCACCTTAGAAAAAAATACCTAGTAGGTTCCTCCACCTTTTTTTAAGGGAAACACACAATTTTTAAAAGCAGGATTTTAATGTCTTTATCTAAGGCCCCAAATCTACATTCCCTCTGGCTCCCAAAACTCCACGTGAATGTTAGTTTTGCTTGAATAAGGCCTGCAAGATCCATCCCTCAATCTTGCTCCTTGTTAAATTGAATGGAAATTCTGCAGGTGACTTCAGTGGGATCAGAATTGACCCTTCAGCCACTAGCATGTTGCCCAGATATTTTAGCCACCTTTTCTGTAATATATATTGTCTAAATCTGTTTTCACTGACCTGTAAGACACTACAGATTGTTGTTAAAGGAAAGGGTAGAACACAAGAGGAAATAGTGTTTCTTTGGAATTTCACCATTAGTAAGTTTCTTTCCCCTTACATTTTCTTGTAAGATCAAAGATCAAACTACAATGATTAAGTACACAGTCAAGTAAATTTAAACCTACAGATCAAAATTATTCTCAAAATGTTCAAATACTTAAAAATACGCACTCAAGTTTACTCCTAAAAAGCATTTTTCCAACAAACTTAAGCTGATATCTAATAGTCTAAAATGCAGCATTGTACTTTATCCTATTGTTTGTCCACGGGCAATGTATGGGGCCACAATGTATTGAAATCATAATCCTTGCTTTCTGAAGAGAAATTGTTCTGTGTAATAATTTCTGAGGTGTGGTTTAAATTCCTGTCCTCCTCTAAGCAATTTCAGAAGTCATCTAAAATTATAATCAAACATGCTCAAACATATTTGTGGGCTTAAAAACATGGTATGATCATGGTCGGCAAACACTGGATAGAAGGTCAAACCGAACACTTCCTAACAGGTCAAGAGTAAAAAAAAAATACAGAAAGAGGAACCTCAAAAATCTATTACAGGGGTTACCTAAACTTTGCCCAGCCAAGGACCACATCAGCGATTTGCCATGGGCACAAAGGCTTCATTAAGTCGTGTTATGTGGAAGAGACTGAGTCACCTTTAATATGGCAAGTTGGTCCATAGAGATGACAGGCAATATGCCACCCTGATGTCTGCCATAGGGCTCGTAAGATATCAGAGGAAGAAAACAAGTCATTGCATCCACTCATGTAGAGCTTATGTGAAAAAGGGTGGAAGTGAAGGCAAGGGCAAGAGGGAGATGACAGCCAGGCACACGGGCACTAGGGGTATTAACACTTTTCTTAGATGAAAGTCAGCCTCAGGGCACATGACCAGCTACCATCACCACCTGTTATCTGTGCAGACCTCCCCTGTGGCTGCCCTTGGGAGATCTGCCATGGACATGAAAGAAAGCAGGATTGGTCCCCTGGCCCACGGGCTGCGCTTCGGCCACCCCTGACCTACTAGAAAATGTTGATATTTTTTCCCCACTACAACTCACAGAGTGCAAAAACAGCAAGCGTCAAAGTTTGAAGCCCAGGCCTTCCCACCCCTGCCAGGCCTGGCCTCGCCGGGCAGCTCCCCTGCCCAATCTGCCTTCCATCACCTGCTCCTCTGAGCAGAGCCGACCACGTTACACGGCCAGGTCATCTGACCTGGCTCTGCAGCTGCTCGACTTACTGGCCCTGCTCAAGCGCCGTGTGTCTGCGAGCAGCGGTGGCTCATGCATCTCCACGGTGGTGCAGGCAGCCGAGCCAGGCCGTTCCTCTGACAGCTCCTCCTCGCCCTCCACATCCCACTTGGTGCCGCTCGCCCCGCTGAGGCTGGGGCTTCTGGGGCCGGTGGTGGGAGTAGCTCCAGTGGCTCTTCCTGCGAGGGAAGGGGATGCCGGACGCTGCTGGGGGTGGAGGACTCCGCCGAGCTGGAGGGCGCCTTCCCCTGTTGCTCTGCTGCCATGTTGACCCAGTTCTGCTCAGCCACCAGGGCATGGCTGTTGCTGTTGAAGTAGTTGATGATGGCTGGTGTGGGCGTGGGGATGGGGCTGGGGATGGGGATGGGGGTGGAGATGGGCGTGGGAGTCACAGCACGGTGCCTCTCCTCAGGAACTGGTGGAGCAACAGGGTAGCCGGCCATGGAGGCCGTGTTGGAGGGGGGCTGTGGCCTTGGAGCAGCTGCAGCATAGCATGGTGCCATGCTCACCGGGGCCAGCAGTGGTGTGACAGCACGGGTGTCAGGCAGAACAGGGGGTGGCGCGGCAGTCGTTACCACCACAGGTGATGCTGGTGGTGGCACGGCAACAGGTTTGGCCTCTCCTGTTACCATGACTGGTGTCATTGTTGCAACAGGCATCTCAAGGCTGTACCGGCTTGTCATGCCCTGCTTAAGCTTCTTCCACCCCAAGTGATACATCTCAAGCATGTTCAGCAGCAGGGAGACAGAGGCCACCACCAACATGAAGATGATGAAGATGGTCTTTTCAGTGGGCCTTGAGATGAAGCAGTCCACAGTGTGTGGGCAAGGTGCGCGGCTGCACTGGTAGACCGGCTTTAGCTCAAAGCCATATAGGAAGTACTGGCCCACAATGAAGCCCACCTCAAACAGTGTCTTGAAAACGATGTTGAAGACATAGGTACGGAGCAGGGCACCCCCAATACGGATTCTCCCACGTTCATCACGGATTGGGAGCTTCTCCTTCCCTCTTTTGCCAAGAGGATCCTTGACGTTACTGCTGCCTCCTCCACCACCACTGGCAGACGCTGCTGCACCTGGGTAGTTGCTGTCTTTGACGCTTCCCTTCTTTTTCAGCTCTTCTTTCTCTTTCCTCTTCTCCTCCATGCGTACGATGTGCAGCACATGGCCCAAGTAGATGAGAGTTGGAGTGGAGACAAAAATGATCTGCAGCACCCAGAAGCGGATGTGAGAAATGGGGAAGGCTTTGTCATAGCAAACATTTTCGCAACCAGGTTGCTGAGTGTTGCATGTAAAGTCTGACTGCTCGTCTCCCCAGACCTCCTCAGCAGCAGCCCCCAGCACCAGTATCCTGAAGATAAACAGTACCGTCAGCCAAACCTTGCCAATAACCGTGGAGTGCTCCTGCGCATTCTCTAACAGTCTCCCCAGAAAGCTCCAGTCACCCATTGTTTCAGATTTCTAACCTACAATAAGAACATCAGAGCAATTAGAGCAGTGTTTAAAGATCTTATAGTTACACAATGTCGGGGCAGAACAGATTGATCCTCTGCAAATGACATTTCTTAAGTGCACTTCCTTTTGCAGAATACTGCACACCCGTGTTAAGAACTACATAACCCTGTGACCATGCAGCCACGGGTTTTGGTGAGCACAAAAGCGGGATGTCTAGTGCTTTCATCTAGCCGATACAGGTTTAAGTGTCTATACACAACGACAGGCAAGAAGGACTCACAAACCAGAACTTCTACATGATTTAAATATTTAAAAAACATGACTTCTCTGTTTCCTCCACCCGAGATGTCTTTAACTGTTCTTGCCTATTTTTAGAAAAGAACAGACGGAAATCAGTTTAATTAAACAGAATATTCCTACATGTATCAGAGTGTGATTAAAATCAGTTTAATTAAACAGAATATTCCTACATGTATCAGAGTGTGATACAAAGCTTGCCTAACTCTAATCATTTTACTGTTATCAGGACTCGTTACTCCAGCATTCAGGAGGTTAGTAATGTCCCAGGTCTCCCCTACTGTACAAACACAGAAAAATAATTACCCAGAATTATTTCTAAATTATGGACTTTAGGGTTTAATTTTGGAATGTGTACACCAACAACAAGCATGTTCTCAAAGCCTACTCATGTTTGAGTTTCTCAAAAAGAAAGAATTATTTTAATAACTTGAAATATTGGGAAGAATTAGAAATTCTGAGAGGAATCACAGAATCACAGAATCACAGAATCACAGAATAGTAGGGGTTGGAAGGGACCTCTGTGGGTCATCTAGTCCAACCCCCCCGCCGAAGCAGGGTCACCTACAGCAGGCTGCACAGGACCTTGTCCAGGCGGGTGTCCAGGAATGATGGAAAGGTTTCTATGCCATTTGCCCTACTGTCCTGCTAGATGGTGTTACTGAACCACATGTACTGCAACACCATTAAAAAAAACCCCACAAACAAAAAAACTCAGAAGCACTTCAGCAACTGTCCACAGAGATTTTTTTGGAAAAATGAAATTATGACCTTACTTCTCTGATAAACAACGGGTACACATTCTCAGTAGCTTACACCAATTCATGTACAATGGGCTTCCCATGTCCAATTCTAGGCAGTGACACAACTTCTGATTTGGAAAGGTTTAACGTACAAGAATTTTTTAAAGTCAGATTCCTCACAAGCTGCCTTCAATTGAGAAACAAGCTATTATCTGCTGGTATCACTTCTGTTATCCTTGGCCTGTTCCTAACTGGAATATACATAAGAATATTGGAATATATGTAAGAAGTACATTTCATTCTCCTAATGAACACACTTCTACATTTTGTATGTCAGCTGAAAACAAAATACAAAACTTTGCTTTCAGCTAACTTCAATACTTTCAGAAATACTTAGATCATAATTGTAATTCCGATACAACAATTCGCATGCAAAAAACACTATCAGAAAAGAATGGTTATCCTCTTGTTTAAAAATCTCGGAATAATTTATAACTGAATTACACGTCACTTTTTTTATTTTTACACTGATATGTCTTGTCCAAATAACCGTGTGTCTTACAATTCCCAAGAAGAAAAGGTGTTCATCATCACAGGTAGGAATTTACCACTGAGAAAATGCACTGTTCTCAGTATTATATTTACTGTGATTTCCTACAATGATGTCACTGTTTCTCCAGAGGAAGCATTTCCAAAGTCAGTACTAACTTCTTTCAGGCTTTTAGTTAAGGTAATTAATTAAAGTTATTTCAGTTACTTGTTTTTATAATTTGATTTTACTGTGAGGGAATGAAACACCTGTAACTGCAGAATAGTATATTTTTACACAAAAAGCAACAACACACCCAGTAGTATTTCGCATTTTTGTAAATCTTGCAATACTAATTCACTTTTTATCCCCACAAAGTTAATTCAATAAAAACCCCCTAAAAAAATAATCTTTGATATTCTACAAAACCACACTCCCTTTACTATAATTTAATTCTCTTTCCCAGCATAGCACAATAAACTGCAAATGACAGTATTAACAAAGAAATACTGATTTTGTGTAGTAACGTCCCCGGTCCTAAAATAATTTTTATCATTTTTTGGAAATATTTTGATTTCTTTTAAGGAGTGTGTTTTTTCCCCTCTTGAAATAGGAACCCCAAACTGAGTAAATTTTGTTAGAATACTTTAAGTATTAATTTTTCAGGGAATAAAGAATTAATTTTGTGTATTTTTTACCCAAAACTATTTGAAGATATACTCAGTTTAGTTCCATCTTTGGACAGAACTAAACTATTGTTTGGGAATGTTCTCATTTTGAGTAGTAAAGATCATTACATAGGTACAGCAAAATAAATAATGTGATATTTGATGGATTAAAGTTTAGCATAACCCTAAATCCAGTATTTCATTCCTCTGCTATACTTAGCATTATTCTGTGCCTCTCAGTTCAGTTCTCTCTGCCTCAATCTTTGTTTTCTATCCAGATAAAGTAAAATAGGTAGCTCAGATAATGAGTAGTCAAAGTTCTGGTTTGTTCATTGTTACTAGTATTTGTAATAGAAAGTGTATTAGCAAAAGTTAGCACATTAAGTCTTCTTTAATTCAATAATCATGGTCTATTTTCAGCATGGCTGCCATTACCCTTACTTCCAGTGGCACAGAGGCCGCACAGTGTTCTTCATAAAGACAGATATCACATTTTATTGTTTAAAAAAAAAATGAATTCAATCTGCCCTCATGAAAAATCATAACCCCTGCGCTGTAAGGTGAACAGAGATAGCAATCTGCTTTTTTCCCCATAGGCACACTGTTGTGTATCTCTTACTGAGCTAAACAGGCGACACTGACTACAATGAAAGTAGGATTTTTTTGTGCTTTTCTGAAGAATTGTCTAGTGGTTAGCGGAAGAAGAAAAACAACTATTCGTAAAAAGCAAAGAAAAGGTGAAAAATAATACCATCTAATTTATTCTCATTCTCCATTCACTAATACTACTGAAGATGTTTTTTTTCTTCTTGCTGCAGGACAACAACGCCCAGGTTGAGATAATTCCGGACCAAAGATGTGACACAACCCATTTCTCAAAGGATACACTTTAAAACACTCTTCTAATGCTTACATTAATTAAAAGATTTATTTCTGTATATCAGAGTCAGAAAATTCATCCAGTACACAAAGAAAAAGTGGTTAAGCAGTGATCAGATACTTCATAGCATTTTAACCATACAGTGATGAAAACCTCAGTGTTCATCTTAGTATCAATTGCAGCAATCATTGCCTTCACTACAAATGTGTGTTGCCCATAATACATAAATACAGGAAGGACATCACTTCCAAGGGCAACGCAAAGATATTTATCTGCACTGGCTGGAGGGTTCTCAGAAATCCAGGTCCTGTGTCTTTCTTCAGGGTCAATAGATTCTCCAGCGAGTAATTCTTAAAGCCAGTGTAACTCATCCAAAAATCACATCAACAATTTTAAAGGGGTGCCTTGATACAAATAATGATTAAATTACATCAAACAAAACCAGAGGGCTCACAGAATATTTGAGCTGTCACCATTAAGTTCAACAATACCTAAATCTAAATTTGAACAGCCACAACTCAGTATTTTAGCTGAGAACAATTCCAAGCTTGCTTTTGTAGTATTAAATAAACTTCAGCTGTACAGTACTACTCTCAGTGCTGCTGAAATACAGAGCTAGGCAATTGTTAAGCCCTAATCTTACATATGGATTGTGAAGGGAGTCCTTTTTTCTTTCTGTGCTTGGAAAACATGCAGATTAAGAAAGTAATGAAACTTCTTCATCTGTATTTCATGACATTCATGCAGAAATACCCACTAGGGAGTGACAGAGAATCTTTCTCAGAAAGTAATCCAATTCAACGGTATGAAAAGCAAGGACTTCATGAATCTTGGGATCATTTAATAAGAACTGGAAGTCATATATTGTTTGGGTCACTTAGGAAATCATTTCTCTGAGACAAATATTGAAAAGTTGGCAGATCATAAAAACTGGCATGGCATTCTGTTTAAGAGTCAATGTTGTGCCATTAATTACTGACTTTAGTACATGCACACAGTTTGTGGATGCGAGGGGGGCGAGACAAAGAGAATACGCAAAGGAGAGAATAAATTTTAAAAGCTATGATATTATGTATATATCCCTCTACAGGAGAGAAATAATTATCATCTAGCATCTATAGACTTGCTAGTTACTATTTCTATTTCTCTTTCTGATGATGTCACCAAAAAAATTAATCACTATGTATCATGTGTGTGAAATACGGTATTTTAATTATTTATAATTTTCATAGAATCACAGAATGGTTTTATTTATAATTTTATTTGTACATGTATATGTTTATGTACTTATATAGACACATGCACACATACACAAACATAAATAACTACACAGCTAAGTTACACACACTACCAGATTATGACATCTGGTGTATTTATGATTTTATTATACTGGTATATCTAAAAAATGTCCCTTAGCAATTATTTAGAAACTTAATATGTCCTTGTCTGACTAAAATTTCTTAAACTCAGTCCACATTTTCTTTCACTTCTTGTGACAGTCTAAAATCTTGGGATTTAGGTTTTTATCTTTGAAATTACCTAGATTTTGCAAACCAGTATGAGAAAAAAATGCAAATACAAACCAGTATGAGAAACTCATACTGGTTTCAGACTCATGTATTATCACTTTCACTGCATTTCAAACTCTTGTTAAAAATTCATCCCTTAGATGATGTTGTTATTACCTTAAACTTACTTTAACGCTATGAAGCCTCTCCCTTAAATCCCAGGCAAAATTTCTCTTGACTTCTTGACTTCACTTAATCTGTGAGTGAAAGTGTGGCCTGAGCAAAGGAAAACTGCAAGAAGTGCAGGGCTGAGCCCAGGAGGAGAACTTCACCCCACCTGTTAAACTCCTTGTCCCCTGGCATAACAAA